AAATAAAATCAGGTATGGAAAAAATTTAGCTAAATGCCTGTCATTTAAGACACTTCATCATATTCTCTGTTGCTTTCTTTTTTTTTCTTAAAATCAAGCAGCTTGGGGAAGCTGTAGCAATAATATTTCATTCAAACAAAATATAGATTCTGTGAAATCAGGATACTCAGGTCATATGGATTTACTGTCTTCCTTCTGACAAGTAACAGTGATGGAAGAAGATGCATCTGTCTGCACAGGGGGTTACAATTTCACACAGGAATTAGATATTTCCTGTTCAGGTCTTCACCACAGCTCTGAGATGTGGGAGTTAGCAAATTCATTTGACAGATGAGGAACTGAGGCTCAGGAAGGTCAAGTGTCTTTCTCCAAAAATAAGCTATCAGTGCTAGAAATTGACTTAAGTTTGCTAACCCAAGTGTCCACTACACCCCAGGAGCCTCTTTTTCTGGCTCTCAAAACTCTCTCTGAGGCCAAACTCTGAGTGCCTCAAGAGGGATATAAAGTCATGTCTGGTTTACTTTAGATGCTGTGTTATCTGCAGGTGCCAAGCCCAGAAGTTGCCTTTCAGGATCACTTTGTGCTGATAATGCCTTTGTTCTCAAGCTCCAGAGCAGGGTCAGTGCAAGTATGGTTCTATCAGAAGTTGAAGTGATGCTCTCTCCACTCTCCGTGGTTTTAATGATTTGGCTATTTCTACAGTTATATTTAGTAAGTCCAACATCTGTCAAGGAACCCATTTAAAAGGCAATAAGACAGATTAATCAAATACAACATTTTTGTTATCTCTTCATTAGTGGAATCCATAAAGCTGAAAAGGATTCCAAGATAAGAGGATCCTTTGCTTGGGATCCTCTGAAAGGAAACCCACCGGCCTGACAATTTCTTTGCTAATGCAGAGGAGGGACTCGAAAGAATTACGTAGCCTCCAGTAACTCTGGGCTGGCAAACACACAGACCTGGCAGATTACGATCATCTTTGTCATCACATAAAAGACACTCCCAGGTGGTTTTTCTTTAATGCTCCACTGATCTTTGCAAGGAACAGACTTTTAAGTATAGTCCAGATGGTAATGGATGAACTTAATATTTCTTTGTCCTTCTCCAAGACAGGGTAACTGTGCATCATGCATGGGAGTCAGTGGTCATTTTTAATATTTAAATGACATCTGAGTAGGAGATTAAAATTTATAAAGAGCATTGAGATCCTCGGTAAAAGGGATGGGAAGCCACTTCTACTTTCAAATGCAATAAAACAGATGGGCCTCCCATTCCGGACTTAAGCATTAAAATATTTAAGATTCTTTGTAATACTGGAAGTCCACAGAAGGAAATCTCAATATCTCAATATCCGTCTCTCTCTCTCTCCTCCTCCCTCCTTCTCTCCCTCCTTCCCCCCTGCCCCCCGTGCTCTCTCTCTCTCTCTCTCTTTCACTTATATTGCATTACACACTTATAGATCATTAACTTAATTCCAGAGGGCAAGATTCCATTTTGTTTTTAAAAGACTGGAATGTAACCTTAAGACCCAGCACAGGGAAACAGTAAGAATTCTGAGTAGAGGAAAATAATAACTACCATGATAATTATTATCTTGAAATATCCTCACTTTGCAGAGGTGATCTAATTATTCTCCTGCACATCCCTCATGGGAAAGGTGTTATTATTTCCATCCTGAAGACAAATATAATATCTACTCTTGATTTATAAGTGCTATTTCTTCTGAGAAGCTTCATTTATTTGTTTTCTTGTTCATCTTTACAATATGGACTTAGACACCTAAAATTAAGTAATTTTGTAGAGTTAGAGGCAGAATAATGTTTCTATGGATGATTGATTAAAATTCAGTGCTTTCCAAACTGTTTTAATCATATACCCTGTGAAATTATAAAATGTGCACAAATACTGAAATTTAAAAGGATCAAACAAAATAAATATACCTTGAGAGTCAGAGTCTAGGGTTTTTTCTGTGCTTTCCTGGGGTATGTGCAGCCCCCCCGCCACACTCTTTGGAACGGGGAGTTGGAAATAGGTAGAGAAAAAAATTAACATGGTTCTCCTCTTCTTCTCTCTTTAAAATAAGCCCTGGCAATTGCAGTTCTTACAGTGAGTTCTACTTGGAGCTAACTTGTAGGGCAAAAGAGAAATAGGAAGAAATGTGAAAGAAGGGGAAAAAAGAAATGGATAAGAAAGGAGTGGGTAACAGAAACACTGAGCTCTGGCAGGGGTGCCATATTAGTTTGCTACGGCTGCTGTAACAAAATACCAGACTGGGTAGCTTCAATAATAGAAATCCATTCTCTCACAGTTCTGGAGGATAGATGCCCAAGATCGAAGTATTAGCAGGTTTGGTTTCTCTTCTTTCCTTACTTGGGGAAGGAAGGGGCTCCCTTCACGTGCCCTCACATGGTCTTTCCTCTGTGTGTACACATCCCTGCTGTCTCTTTGTGTCCCAATTTCCTCTTCTTATAAGGACACCAGTCAGACTGGATTAGGGTCCATCCTAATAGCTTTGTTTTAACTTAATCATCTCTTCAAAGGCCCTGTATCCAAACACAGTCACGATCTGAGGCGCTGAGGCTTAGGTTCAATGTATGAATTTGGCGGAGACATAATTCAGCCCATAATATGTGCTTTTATTTAAAAATATCTTCTGCTTTCAGGCAAGGGTGATATTAGAAGTATGTAATAACCATACAGCATGAGTGCTGTAGGAAATGGTTATTACAAGTTAAACTGAGGCATGTTAAATTTTTCAAGAGTTTGAGTAAACATGGATTCAAACTGGGCAGAGTTAAACAAGCACCCTGCCAACAAGAGCTAGGGGAAGGACTTTTATAGAGCAGACTCAGAAGCAAAGCATGGAAATTTTCATTGGCTATAGCTTACGCAGTTGCCTTATTTGGGAAAGCCTAGGGGTTGTGATTGGTTCTTCTTAAGTTTCGTTTTCTCAGATACAAGTATATTTATAAGTATTGACTCTGGCTTAGGTTTTGGTGTGCTTACATAGGTTATCAAGGTGTAAGAGCCACCTTGGTCTCATGACACGGTCAGCAATGCTTGTTCACTCTAGTGACTCACACCCTCTTCGATCTGCTGACCTGACTCAAGTTCCCTGACTAGTTAGTCTCCCAAGGTGATCCCATCCATCTCCTGGGGGTTTCCTCCCAACAGTTTACTAGAGACCCTCCGAAGCCTCAAAGGTGAAGCTGCTTCCTCCACAGATCCAAGTTTGTTTGCATGATAATTCTGACCATGTGCTCCTTGAACAGTGGGCCATTCCTGTAAGATGACAGGTGAGAAATCCAGACATTCCTTCTGTCATGTTCTCTGAGAGGCACGTTTCCCTCAAAGCTCCTCTACTTGAAGAGGGTTTTCCTATTCGTGATCTGCACCAGATGGCCTCACCATGGACTGTCTCATGAAGAGCACAAACGCTTTCTGTGTTTTGGCGACCTCAGGTCACACAGTCAGCTGGAAAGTTTGACAGCCTCACCTACTGCCAGTTGCATTAGTTGAATGAAGGAAAGTAGATCCCTAGTGACAATGTTGGGAGTCTGGGGGTGGTGCACAAAGTCTTCAAGGAGACGTTCTTTCCAAAATTTCTGGAAAGCACACAAACATGTATTTGCCACCACCTTAGGAAGAGCTGACATTCGATACCTCAATTTAAAAATATATGAATGAGGATTCTATCACATTATGAAGTCTTTATTTTAGAATGCTATTACTGATTTCCTGATTCCTTTAAATGGTAAGCTTTATGCATTCTTTCTTCATTGCTAGTATAACATAATTGGAAAAATTGTATGTGTATTATTTAAGTAGTTATATCAAGTCAGTAGAAATTAATACACTCATTTAACAAGAATTTAGCCAGTTTATTCCCCATGCTGGAGATAGGACACAAAAATGAACAAGTTCCTGCCCTTGAAGGGCTCACAGTTACCGAGAGAAGAAGTAAAGTGGACAGGCACAATCTAGGAACTGGTTCTCACATACAGGAGAATCACCTAGAGGCCTAGTTCAAAGAGCTTGCTGTACCATCTCCCACCCCAGCCCCACTCCCCTAGTTTCAGATTCAATGGGGCCAGGAATTTGCATTTCTAACAAGTTCCCTGGTGGTGGTGGTTCTGCTGCTGCTGCTATCTCTTAGGAACCACACTTTGAAAACCACTGATCTAGTGTTGCAAGTGCTGGGGGCTATGGAAACTCTGAGGATGAGTTCCCAGCATGTGCCGGAGGGTGAGGGAGGTCAGAGAAGTTTTCATAAAGGAAGTGAGTTTTAAAGGACAAGTGGGGAAGGATAAGGAGGGAAGGATTGGGACATGCCAAGTACATTTAGTTCTAAAGGACAAAAGTAGGAGAAAGTACATATGGTTTGAAAAAAATGCAAATAATTCCATTTGGCTGAGATGAAGTTTGAGTTCGAATTAGTTGCAGAAGATAAAACTGGAGAAATATGCATGGCCGAGAGCCGTGGTTGAGGGCTCTGTGTGAGCATTGTCCTACAGGTGATGGAACCTGATGATAGAACCATGAATGCCCAGAGCCAGACTCGAAGCTGGAAGAAAAGAACTCTGGTAGAAGATCTCCCATCAGTTAGCTTTCTTCCAAAAAAGCTTCTTTCTGAGCCTAGCACAGGGCTTTCTAGCCCTTCGGAAGAAATACATTTCATTTCTCTGAAGAGACAAATCTTCCTGGAAGTAATATGAGAGGTGAAAGGTTATGCCGATTGCATATAACCAGAACTGAGTGGAGGGTTAAGTTTTTGCTATTGACTTATGAGTTCTGGCAAGGGAGCATGACAGTATTTTGAGCATGACAGTAATTAATTGATGATGATTGACTCTTGGAAAACCTTCGGCTTCGCCCACCTCTAATGGCCTCCTGGTCACTCAGAAGAGAGGGTTGGCAGGCCTAGGAAGGAGGAATTGGAAGAGAGGGAGTCCCCAGTAGCACAGGTTGTGATGAAATGTGCTTCATTCCCTTCTCTCTAGGGGAAGATGATGACGACGATGAATGTGGGGAGGAGAAGCTACCCTCCTGTTTCGATTACGTGATGCACTTTCTGACTGTCTTCTGGAAGGTCCTCTTTGCCTTCGTGCCCCCTACAGAATACTGGAATGGCTGGGCATGTTTCATTGTCTCCATCCTCATGATTGGCATACTGACAGCTTTCATTGGAGACTTGGCTTCCCACTTCGGCTGCACCATTGGCCTAAAAGATTCTGTGACTGCAGTAGTGTTCGTCGCACTTGGAACTTCAGTACCAGGTAGAGAATACATTCATATGTGATTCCCTCAGAAGTAGAAGCCCATTTGCCTTATGACCTTTTATTGCCTCACCATTGCAAGGACTGTGACAACAAATCAGGCCTATTAAGGTGAGAGTCCAAAGATATAAATGATGTCATTGCTAGAATATTGTCATGGCATTTTTCAAGGTTAGAAAGCTGTTCAGTATCATCATGATGACAGAAAAGCATCCCCAGAGGGGACTGCATGGCCTGCATGGAGAGAGCACATTGATTTGATGGCTAGATTGATAGATCAGATTCGCATTTCAATCAGCACTTTCAAAAACACAAAATAAAACAAAATTACAGAATCATCTTCCAGAACAAAAATGTCTATTTGGTAAAATTTGGATGATTTCCATGAAACTCTGCATTCATTGGGTCACTAAGATAAATACTTACTAAAGATCTGATATAATATTCTCTTGACCCAGGTATTAATGTATTAATGGAAGGAAATAAGAAGAAACAGACATTGATCAGGACAGGGAAAAGGGAATCTCACAAAGTGAGCAGTTTCTTTAGTTGTACATTTCATGGATATCCTTTTATGCATTCTTATAAGCTGAATTTCTCTTTTAGCCTACAACTATAGCTGATTACGGTTGCTCAGACTTCTGAGTAAGAAATCGACCTCCCAAACATGACATTGACAGCAGTAATGTTCAAACTTTGGTGGGCATCAAAATTACCTAGGAGGTTGTTTAAAAAATGCAAATGCCTGAGACCCATCACCAACCTATGGAATCAGAAGATCTAGAAGAAGGGCCCAGAAATGTATGTTTTAAGCTCACAGGTGATTCTGTTGAACATCAGGGCTTATTGTAACTAAAGCTGTAGATCTATTCCCCAGCACTAGTTGACACCTCAACAGATGTACAGCCTTAACTTTGAGCAACAAGATTCTCATTCTCTCCTTGATAGGTCAAGTGTTGCAGTGGGTTTGGAGAAAGGTGAAACTTGAGACCTACAGCCCTGCCAATGGCGTCATTCACTTTCCATGTTCAACATTTGCCACAGCCTTTCTATAAATGCTGTGATTTCTACCAGTACTTTGCATAGTTGGGAACCCTAGCTGTGGTTTTGAGTCTGAAAATAAGTATGGTATAAATCATGTGTATCTCTTCACTGGAATCCACTAGTTGTTCTCCACCGAGATATTTATCATCTCAGTGACTGTGGATAAGTTACTTAACCTCTCTTAGCCTCAGTTTCTTTACATGTAAAATTGGGATAACCATACTTAACTTGCAGAATTGTGGTAAGGACTGAAGAAAATACCTATAAATTATGCATCTTAGTAAAGCATCTGGGACTAGAAGGAATTCAATAAAATAGCAGCTTTTGTGATTGTTATTTATGTTGAACAGCTTAGGAAGATCTGACCAGTATAAATATGGACACTTCATCCTTGAGTAACCAGGGATGAAGTGTCCAGATTTATATTGGTCAGCCAGAGCACATGGTGCTATCCAACTGACTGACCCTTTGAAAGTCCTCTATATAACCAAAGGAACTAAAGATCATGGTTACCCATTGCTCTGTCTGTGGCTTTTTTAAGAAAATGTTTTGGGGTGCACTTTGCCTAAGGTTTAAATCACTAAATCAAATGGTGCCCAAGTTAGCACACGCTGTTGGCCATGGGTTTAATCCTTGAGGAAAATATATGCAAATTATGGTGACGAAGGTGAAATTAGATCTCTCATGACAGTTATTCAAAATCAGCCTGTGGTAAGTCAACAGTTGGTCCTAGCAAATGCATCACTTGCTTTCAAAAGAACAACAAAAAAATGCTTTTTCTACATTAAATCCTTGTCCCACCAAAAAAAAATTGTTTTTAAATTTCCCAACTTCTCATCTCAATACCCCCAAACTGGCTCTTTTTTCTATATAACACTCCTCCAAAATGGCATTGTGCATCTCTTGTATTAATAAACACTTTTGAATAGTGTGCAGCCATACGATTAAAAAACTTTTTCCGTAACATGAAATGTGGATTACAGAAACCTTTATGGTTGGAAGAGTCATTTGTTCTGCCACTTAAAACCAGCTCAGTTCCCAGGGAGAGGTATCAAGAAGTAAGGAAGCCTATTGGGGAGAATACAACAGAATCGTTAGTTGTCAAAATGGTTTCCCCACACTGCTATAAATTCTTCCTACTGGGATACAGATTTCTTTTCTCTGTTATTGGGAGCATTCCTGTAATTTGTTGCAATATTAACTGTGCAGCATGCTCCCCAAACAATATATTCACCGGTAATCTCACATAATCATATCTATATAAACAGACTTTTTTTTTTTCAAAAAACAGCTGTGCAAATTGAGCAAGATGCTAAATGAATGTAATATTTTTCTGACTTTATTCTTCAATCCTGATTATTCTGAACGGTGCTTTCTTTTATCTCTTGACTTAAAAAACATTATGCTATTGTTCCCAGATGACAAAGCCCAGTTGCCATAGATAGAAGAATAAGGAAAAGTCATTCTCTTCACATACCACCTGCCATTAATTGGCATCTGTCCTGAGGCCCAGTTTTGATGTTTTGACACTTGTCTTAGAGTAGAAGGGATCCTGGCTAGTGTCTGATAATGCTGCCTCTTCTAGGTAAGACTCAGATTCTTAGCCTACGAGAGCCTGATGGGCATTGAAATTTTTCCCTGCCTCCAGGCAGGATTAAATATCTACATATATCATTAGAAGTAATTTTTTTTTTTTAACCATATTGTTCAAAATCTGTGGGAAAAAGAGCTTATGACTTTCCAGGTGAGACAGAATTTCTTCCTCAGACCAACTTGTAGCAAACGCTCATTATAATCTACTGGCAGAGGACTCCTGAAGGTCTTCACCCCGCCTAACCTTAGGTCCACATAGGAGTTTAGAGACCCGTTCCAGTTATTAGAGAAAAGGCCCTTTTTTCAAATCGCTTGTTCTTAAATAGAGCTACCTATCTGGAGAAGAGCATCTTCTTGAACTGTCTCTTTTCACCTCTGTGCATCTCTTGTATTAATAAACTATTTTGAAAAGTGTGGCAGCCACACAATTACCTTTTTTTCTGAACGTAAAATATGGATTATAGTTGGAATGAGCCAGAGTCTCTTCTTTCCTCGGTCCATGCTCCCTCCCTGAGCCATCACATCCATCCCCATGGCTTAAATGCTATTGATGTGCCAATGACTGGCAAATGTATATCTCCAGCCTCCACTTTTCCCTGAGCTTTAGATTCATTTACCACTGCCTTCTCTATATTGATGCTAGGTGTGTAATTTGCAACTCAAAATTACCATGTCCAAAATAGAACTGTTGACTGCCTAATTGCCTTATCCTTCAATCAAACCTATTCTTCCCAGATTTCACCTTTCTCAGGAAAACAGTATCATCATTCACTCAGGTGTCCTTGATTCCTTTTTCCTCATCCCCACAGTCAATCCATTTATAACTCCTGCAGATCTTTCCTCTAAAGTATATCTTGATCGAACCCCCTTAGCTGTCTCTGCCACCACAGTCCTGGTCTAGGCAGTGGTTCTCTTCCACTCAGACCCTTGCAATAGCCTCCTATCTGTCTTCTTGCCTCTGTTATAGATTGTTTTAAGATATAAATCAGACCACAGTTCTGCTTACAGTCTCCCAACGGCTTCTTATTTCACTTAGGATAAATTTTAAAATCATCACTCTGACTTACAAAGACCTATGTGATTTAGCTCCTGCCTATCATTCCATTCTGTTTTCCTCCTTGCTCGCTGTTCTTCAGCCCCACTGGCCTTTTTACTGTCCCCACGCACCAAGTCAATTCCTTTCTCAGGATTGCACTAGCTTTCTAAAACACTCTTCCGTTTCGTTTACACAAGACCGATTCTTTGTCTCAATTATATCTCACCCTAAATGTCATTTCTTCAAAGAGACCTTTCCTAACCACACAATGTGGTCAACCAGTTCTTCTGTATTATATCGCCCTATTTTCTATAGAGTATTTGTTACTTCTGGATTTTGGGGGGGAGGGGTTATTTATTTTCGAATGTTATTATTGTCTAACTCTCCTGAAATGTAAGCCTCATGAGAGCCAAAATCTTGCCTTTCTTTTCTCTATTACATCCTGGCTCCTAGAACAATGTCTAGCTAACACATAAGTAATGCAATTGTGTATATGTGTTTGTGTGTATGTAGGCATGTGTTGTATATATAAATGAATGTACAAATCAGTCATTTACACATTAGTATGAGTTGTTTCCGTCAGATTGCTTTCTTCGTAACACTTTCCAGAGACAGTTGAGAATTAAAGTTATGAATGAGGGAGATGAACAGTAGATATTTCTATGCTACAGCTTATTTTTGAGGAATAGAACATATCTGAGTAGGTTATTGCAAGAAGAGGCAAAAGGAACTTAATAGCACTAAGAATCCCAGAACAGAAACAATTTCTCTCTTGCATAATTTTGGCTATGGTGGGAACTGTGATGAGGAGCAAGATATTATTATTATTTTTTTTTTGCCTTTATTCTTTTTTCTGCTTTAAACCCTGCTTCCAAGACCCAGAAGTCAGGCCAGTACTTTTAAAACTTTAGGTATACTCTGTGGAGTGCTAAATAGGCATTTTGCAATAGCCTGGCATGGGTTCATAACTATGTTATGTCGTATTGCTTCTATAGAATAACAGTTTCAAAATTCAAGGGGAAAAATGTGAGAAGGAACATTTGGAACCCAGCCTTTTTTGTACTAAGGACCACCTATAATGGCACATTCTTTTAGCTGACAATTATTTACTTGGGTAAAACCCGGGTATATTGGGTCAAGAAATTCCAGTTTCTATATCGGATTCCAAATATAAAATTTCCTTTCATTCTTTGCTCTTCTTGGATTCAAATAAAAATAAGATGTCTTTCTTAATTACACAGAAAACTCTTGGATGACGATAAATTGGAAATAGTTTTACCTCATTAAGTCCTGCCTTGGTCTTTCTCCATTCATCTTGACTGAGCTT